GTTGAGGGAACTCTTTCCAGAGGTTCTCGTCTTTCAGGGAGGTGATGTTTTTCTTGGAGATTGAGAACAGTGTCAAGTACAGATTTTGTATTTTTTAGTCTTTGATTAGGTTTCCACTTGTCAACAAGGACTCTATTAGGGTGGTTATTTTCTAGCCTTTTAGATCTTTCATATATTTCTAAAGCTGCCCGTTTTCTTCGAGTTTCTAATGGCTCAATATTTGTGTGGATTTCACAGGCCGCAGTCGGTGAGGATCTCATTCCGCCAGAGATAAGACGAAGAGCTTGGTTTTGGATGGTGTCCATTGGGTTCTTTGAAGTTTTACTGCAAATGTTTTGTAGAACAAGATTATAATCAAAAACAGCTCTGGTATATCCCAAATAGAGGCCTCTCAAGGTGTTCTTGTCTGATCCCCAGTTGGTACTGGCTAGTCGTTTGATGAGATTAAGTCTCTTCATAGCCTTCTTCCTAAGGTTGTTGGTGTGTTGTTTCAGGTTGAGCTTGCTGTCAAGTTGTACTCCAAGATACACTGGGTCATTCTCCTTTTTCAAGTTGGTACCATCTATTTTGAGAGGGATTTCTGCATTTGCAAGGTTATAGCTTCTCGTAAAAACAGAGTAGACAGTTTTTTCACAATTTACTTTCATCTTCCATAAACGGCAATAGGTTCCTAGGGAATTTAGATCATCTTGTAGTCTTCGTCTGCTTATTGTTGTCGAGTTTCCAGTATGCCAAAGGACAGGTCATCAGCAAAAAGGGCTTTTTCTGTTTTGAGAACATCTGAAACATCATTGAGGAAGACAAGGAATAAGGTACAGCTGATAGAAGACCCTGTGGGAGTCCTTCCTCCAGTACTGCTTTTGAAGATAGGGTTTCATCTATCTGTGTCTGGATAAGTCTATCTGTAAGGAATGATTTAATCCAGGAGTACATGTTTCCCTTGATTCCCATGTTCTGCAGTTTTAAGAGTAGTCCTTTCCTCCACACTCTATCGTAGGCTTGTTGGAGATCCACAAACACAGCCCTTGTCTGTTCCCCTCTTTGAAATCCATCAATGATTTTCTGTGTGAGCCTGAAGAGCTGGTCTTCTGTCCTGCCTTTTGACCTGAACCCTGCTTGACACTGTGATATCAGACCTGAAGACTCAAGCCACCAATAAAGACGAGAATTGAGGATTCTTTCACAGAGCTTGCCAATACAGGACGTAAGTGATATTGGGCGGTAGTTTATAGGGTCCTTGGCCTTCTTTCCTTTCTTTAAGATTGGGTTTATAGTGGCTAGTTTCCATGCTTTAGGCAGATTTCCCTCAGTCCATGTTCTGTTATAGAGCTTAAGAAGTAGCAATTTGGCTTTTTCACCAAGGTTTTGTAGCATCTCATTGTGTACTTTATCAGGACCTGGGCTTTTTCGCTTCTTTAGTTTCTTGATTGCACAGTCCAACTCTCGCTTAGTTAAGAAGTCCTGGAAGATACTCGGTGTCATCAAATCTCTCTCTTTTCCTTTCAGAACACTCTGTAGGCCCCTGTCCAGTTCATTCCTTTTGCTGCTCTTGTTAATGGAGGCAAAATGTTTATTGAAGTGTTCGGCTTTTTTTAACTCGCTGGTGAGAACTTCGGTTTCTGTGTGTAGTGGTTTGGGGTTTTCTTTCCTTTTTTCGCCAGTGAGGTTATTTAGAATTGTCCAAGCTTCACGTCTATCTTGATGTAAATTGAGTCCCTCACACTTCTGCGTCCAGGCTTCCTTCTTAGATTCCTTGGTGACAAGTTTAGCCTCTGCTACGGCCTTTTTGTATCTAATTTTTTTGTCCATATTTTTTTAGATCTTTCTCATATTCATGTCTGGCATCATTTTTAGTTTTTGTAGCTTTCTCCAAGCGCTCGTTCCAAAAAGGTTTATAGTTGGTTCTGCACCCCTGTGGGATACTCTTCTTTGCAGCATCTAAGATGGTGGAGTGAGTTCACTATTAAGGGCGTCTATACATTTATTGTCTAGAGTTTAACGGTGTCCTCAGCTGTTTTTCTGAAGAGATCCCAGTTTGCCTTCTTGAAGTTCCAACGGGTTCTTCTTTTCCTTTGTCTGTGTTTCAGTATACTGATTTTGGTGACAACAGGACGATGGTCACTAGATATACAGTCTAGCACATCTTCACTGCAATTGTTGTGTAAATCAGCAGAGACCAGGGTGAGATCTGGTCTGTGGAGGGTCCCATGTCTCCTGTGAAGAAGTGTTTTGGTTGAATCCTCATCTTGAAGAAGGATGAGGTTAGAGGACAGACATAGTTCTTCAATCCTCTTACCTGTGTTGTTTTGGTCAGCATAGCCCCAAAGGGGGGAGTGTCCATTAAGGTCACCAGCTATGACCGTCTTCTTAAAGATAGTGCTCTGTTCCAAGAAGTTCAGAGTGCTACTTGGGGGACAATAGATGTTATAAAGTATGAGCTTGCTGTTGCCATACCACAGGGTGACTTTATGTGCGTCTGTGGGGTGCCAATTAAGGAGCTCTACTTCACCCTGGATGTCATTTCTGATATAGGTTATAATCCCTTGGCAACCTTCACATTTACATGGATAAGGGGTATACCCAGTGATGTTTATGTCACAGGATGAATGGAGAGTTTCCTGTAATAGAGCAATGTGGACTTTCCTTTCATACAAAATTTTCCCCAATTGTGTTTTCTTCTTGTCCAAGCCACAAACATTTGCCTGAAGAATATTGAAGTCTATAAGCTTCTCTTTTCCGTTACCAGTTGTTGGGGGTGTTTTCTTCTTGTTTTTCCATTTTCTCTGCTTTCTGATTTTCTTTTTCTTCCAATAACCATCCACCAGGCCAGCTTGGTTGCCCACTAAGACCTGGGGGAGACCGTGATTACCGAGGCGGCGTCTCAGCTCGTATGGGATTCTATCATTTGTGAATAGCATCTAAAACTGGTGGTTCTGTGATTTTCCTTCCATCCCGGGGTAGGAGATAAAGCAGTGGCTGTAGGTGCAATGCCACAAACAAAAACCCAACTCCATCACAGAGAGATTGTAAGAAAAATGAAAGGGTATGTTGGTGTCTGTTGTATTATATTGAGAAGTTGTTTGAGGAGATAAAGAAGAGAAAGACGCTATTAAGAGCATAGTAGCTGTGTGTTGCTGAAATACAAAAATTATAATATAATAATAATAATACTAATAGTAATAATAATACCAATTGGAAGCTAGATTCCCCCCCCTCCTACCCGAGCAACCAAGTCCTCTCATCCGAGAGATGGGGGCAGGGGAAGGCATGGCAGATCCCAGAGGGTAAATGTTGTCTACAAGCAAGACGCAAATGGTCTCTGCACCTTCTCCGCAGTCATAGGGCTTTCCGATAAGTGCATGCTTAATACATGTATGTAGCTGGGTATTCTCTACGTAAAGTCACATCCAGTACAGTGCTGACAATGAACCTCTGCTTTCCACCCCACCAATACCCTTTCCAACTCCAGGTCAAAGAAAGGTTGTCGATGGAGAGAGGAGAAAAAAAAAGTTAATAAATGTAATAAAATAAAACAATAAAGACAATAAATAGAAAGAGTAAGAAACATAGTAAAGTAATATGTCTCTTTTCGGGGTCACCCCTTGACCCATTAGCTTCCTCTTTTTCTTTTCCTATTCGAAGAGTACTAACCCCCCCCCACCACGAAAAGGTGGGTCTATTTGGGGGGAAAGACCTTGGCTTCAGCGGGAATTCAGCAGAGAGTTCTTTTTCTCCTAATGCAGCTGGTGGTTCTGTCAGTCATAGACTAGGGGCTGGGCATCCTCTCCCTGTCCAAGACTCAGATAGACAGGTTGGAGAGAGTACAGAATGCAGCTATGAGGGTCGTTCTAGGTTGCACAAAGGACACCCATGTTGTCTGTATGAGATACATCCTTGACCTGGCCAGCATCAGAGTGAGGCATAAGGTGGCACAGGCAAAGCTGTACTTGAATGTTTTGGGAGACCCAAGGCACCCTTTGCATGACAACCTGGGCAGCATCAAAGGAAACAGGATCAAACGGGGCAGCTCATGGATGGCAGAAGCCGAAGACTCCTTGAGGAAAGTTTGTGGCATCGATGAAATATGCTGTGGAAAGGAGTGGTTTGAACTGAGCCCCGATTGCAGAAGCCTGGCCAACGTTCACATCACTATGGGTCGTGAAAGACGGGAATGTGCTGCTGTCATTAGCGACAATGATATACGACAGTTAATTGAGGAGCATTCCAAGCCAGAGGACCCAGTGATCTATATACGGATGGATCAGTCAGGAGGGGTGAGAGAAGTGGATGGGGTTTTGTGGTGTACAGTGGGAACAAAAAGGTTCACGGCATGTCAGGGGCCATAGAAAGAACAACTTCAAGCATGAAAATGGAGATTGAGGCCGTAACAAGAGCGTTTGGATGGCTTCATAATACAAGACCAAGAACAACTCATCTCATCATTGTCACGGACTCCCAGAGCATCTTGCAAAGGGTTGAGAAAGGGCTTCTTCGGAGTGAATGGATGAACCCAATACAACACTCATCACTTAGAGCCATCACGTGGATATTCTGTCCTGGGCACTCTGGAGTGAAAGGCAATGAGGAGGCTGATAGGCTGGCAGGCAGTGCCGTGGTTGATGGTGAGGTGAAATTTGACAAAGGAGAAGTGCTGAAGTCCCTGGAGAAAAAGTTGCGGGATGAAGAAGACAAGGAGACAGCAGAACACCACGCAATCAATGGGGATAGAGAGGGGAGAAGGAAGAAAGGAACGATTATCTGGAAAGGAAAGATGTCGCCATAATCAGACAGCCACCGGAACAATCAATATGGATACCTTGCGGGCTCTGGTGCTGGGGGGAACTGAGCACTTATGGACCTGTCCCGTGTGCAATGACTTTGTTGCCCAGGACAGGTAATACAGGTAAATTTAAAAAATGACTTTTTTTAGGATGTTTTAATCAGTTTTACATTGGTCCAGGTAGGTCTGTCAAAAACCATTCAGTTATTTTCCACTGTACCTGAGTGTTGAAAGTATCCTCATACATCTTGCGCTCACGTTGTATCTCCAGAAAGGCCGCCTCACGCTCCATCATGTCAGATTGAATAGCCTCCAGGTGGCGGGCCAAGCCCTCCTTGTCACGCAGTGCCCTCTGTTGCATGTCTGACAGCTGTTGACGCAGTCGGCCCGAATCTGTTTTGAGACGCTCCACAATGGTGCCGTGAGACACAGACTGTCCCTGCAGATATATCATTGAAAACAGAATATGAATGAACTTGTCGAGCTTTTTCCTTCAACTTGGCAAAATGGTTTGAGCTTAAAATTTGGATTCTACATTATTTCAAGTGAAAATTATTGAGCACTACTTGTCCACTATGTTGCAAAACAATAACAATCTTAACTGATTCCGTCCATTCGGCCGCTGACAGCGTCTCTGAGTTTTTCCTCTGCCTCCATTCGACCGCTGTGAGCAGCTCAACGAAATCAAAAACAAATATGCACTTTTTAACGTATTTCCTACTTTTTAAGTTGTCGAAAGGAAGTAGAACTTGTAAACAAACCTGACCTCAATCTCTGAGCGCCAATATCGATCAAAACTCCGCGAAATTCTTACAAAAATCATTGTTTTGTTGTCGCTATGCAGGCTAGATCTAAGGGTAAACAACACTGAGCCTGGTATAATAAAAAGGCCCTTCAAAGAAAGATATTCAACTAAATTTGTGAAATCCTTGCGTAAATGTGTGTTAGGGTGATATCGCTACAATGTTGTGTTGATTCCTATGGATTATAAGGACTTGTAGAGCTGAGAAAATGCGGTAAGTCGAAATTTTCGAAGAGCTGTTGCGCAATTTTTTTTCTCTTTCGTTTTTGTCTGAAGGAAAATGCAACACAAACAGATTATACGCCATTGTTATTGATATAAACAGATTCTTCTATTTATTCCCATCAGTTTGGTATATGACAATACCTATTAGAGTAACTTAGAGCTTCACAGTAATGCATTAAATAGATGCACCCCAGGTCTAAAACTGAACAGGAAAAAATAATTCTGTCCAGAGCCTGAAAAAATCATGGACGGAATCAGTTAATGAAACAAAGACATTAGACATTTTACGACACTTGCATAAACATATGAGATATGATTTGAATGACTTCAAGTTTTCCCTTTTATGCACAACTGGAACTGAAAGTGAAAACAAAATTGAAGAAGGAACAACAGCCGCCAAATGAGCACAATAGACATCTGACTACTTTTCTTTCTTCCATCAAAATTCAGCAATTTGTACTTCGAATTCCCTGGAAAAAAAAACCCCATTTATTTCATTCAGTAAACTCAAAACTTTATGAAGTATTTGTCTGTGTCAGCAAACATGAATGTCCTTTGCTTAAGTAAGCTATTACACAAATCAAAATTAAGGAATACGCATCTTTAAAAAAATGTTCAGCAAGTGTTTCCACTAAATGTACTCTAAAAATACAACTTTAGCAGGTTCAATCTGACCAGGCAACCCCAATCTCCTTCAATCACAAACATCTCGACTTCTATTTAAGATAAATTGTTATTTTTTTCACTAAATACAAGACAAATGAACAAGCTGCAAGATGATATTAATAACTCCATAAGCCCCAAAAAATAGCCTCATTCCACTGCATTATGTCATTCATTCATCTATTATCTATTTGTGGTGGCCGAATTTTGCTATTCAAAAGGCTTTTTAATTGCTGCATCGATCGACATGCGGTTTTCGCCAAAAAATTCTTTAAAATATTCTCCAGATCCTGACACCCTTGGTTTTTTCAGTTTTGAGACAGTTTTGCTGAAAAAAACTAAATTTCTTTATTTCACCGATCCTTTTGTAGGCCAACGCTTCTGTCTCTGTAATTTTAGAAAACCCGGAAGTAATATTTCGCGAGGTGCATTTTGTTTTGAGAGTATAGATCTAGACCTTCTAATTTTTTGCACCTCTCAAGATTTATTGCCCCCGTTCCAGTAGAGTGTAAATATAGTAGGCCAATTACTTTTAGTTGATATTAAAGCACCGATCATTCCTTTCATCAAAAGGGGGCCCAGCTAGTAGATCTATAAACCACGAGCCACCCCTGAGAGTCCAGACTTTGGAGAGACTCAAAGGAAATATTTCAAACATGTAAATTGCTGATTTTAAAACTTAATTTTTTCTATGTATCTTTTTATACTTCAACCTTTCTAAACTTACAAAGTAAACTCAAGTTATGCTGTGAACTAAGACGACAACAAACAAATTGAGGTCCACGCGCTTATATGACCTTATACAGTTGCGAGCGCCTAAAACGCTTAACTATCAAACATCTGTCGCCCTTTTCTCCCCTCCTTCTTTTTTGTGTATGTTACTCTCTTGTAACACATAATCTATTCTTCGGCACTTATATGACCTTATTGTGTTGCAAGAGCCATAAAACTACTAAAACTAAAACGCTTACCAAACGTAAACTAGCATACCTGTAGAACAGTCAGCTCCCTCTGCAACTTGCTGCGGACCTCATGAGCAAGCTGGAGTTGCTCCTGGTACCACTCTTTGGCTTTGACCAAAGACACCAGGTCATTTCGAGAGGTCCGAGCCTCCGTCTCAGCCTCCATCTTGGCCTGAATGCTGGTCTGTACCTCCACGTACAGCTCGGCTGAAGGGAACAGAGGGAGGAAAAGACAATAGAAATAAGAACAATCTACAACAAGGGCGCTACTTTATAGAACAACACACGGCGTCACTTTTCGCCCGATTCTGTTACTTTTAGTTCGCGTGACTCAGCAGCCCGCCAGAGCTCCCCGGCTCGGGGTCACGGGGTTAATGAGCCCTGAGGCGACTTTGCTGGTGTCGGTCGGGAAGTTCACATTTTTGACTATGTTTAAAACGATATAACTTCTTCCCCATCCCACACAGCAAACCATTACGCGGATGTACTAAAAGCTCAATGTCTTGAGATTTATTCTGCGTTAGAATGGTTAGTTTCTGTGCCTTAGTTTTTGTTCTAGACAAGTGTTCGTAGAGTACCCAATTTGTCCTATTTTAGTTACAAAGTTATGAATAAATGATTGTTATTTTTAAAAAGGCACGACAGATCTCTCCAAATTCTGTGTTAAACTGACTACGAATATCATGTCTTTTACCATGAGAAATCTTAAATCTGCGGTAGTAGTAATAGTCAAGTTATAAGAGAAGAAAGATGCACATCTGCATATTTTAACTAAAGACGATCAGCGTTAGCTCTTATTTTAATATTAAACAAGAGAAAGTTACTCAGTTATTGCAAATGGTCATAGAAACGTAAAAAAAGCTGGAAAAGTCTGGTGCTGATTCAGTGTCCCTGGAAAGCTAGAAATTATTCTTATAACCCAATTACGAGAAGTCATCCTTATTATTCAGTCAACTTACAAAACCTAGACTTAGTGTTTTAAGAAAAGTAAGCAATTTCTGGAGTGTAACAAATACTGTTCGTGTATTAGATCTACGTTGAAGATATATTCTAGCACTAAAATCGATTTGTACTTTTCATTGAGAAACTTCATAACTTTTATAAACTTTCAAGAAAATATGCGAATATTCATCATTATATTAGACACATAAAGTTGTATTTGGAGAAATTACTTCGTAGCGAATTGTGTGCCCGATGGATAAAATTGCAAAATTACAGCCTTCTATTATAAGCGCAGATACCATCTTTTCTGAGTATCTGCACTAATGTTATGTCGTTCATATTCCAAAAGTTCGACAGATTTTGGCGATGCGGTTTTTTTATATTGATTTTTTTTCATTCACGCTAGTCCCAAAAAAATTACAATTTAGCATTGCCGACTCCAGCGTGTCTAACGAAATAACCAGACAAGTTACAACGTCTGTTCTTTTTTGAGTCTCAAGAGCAGAAATGCGTGCTTTGGGTGCACTAAATGAGAATTACCATAAATACAAGGATACACCTTAAATTGTACGTTGAAAAGTACCAAAAATTAAGTCGGCCCAGACAGAGCGGCGACAGGGAGCTGACCCCCGTGACCCCGACGTGATAAGGCGCCCGGCGGGGAGGCGCCCGGCGGGGGAACCGCCTGCGGCAACTAAAATTCCACTGCCGGTGCGCCGTGAACAAACTAAAGGATTTTTTCCTTTCTTTTTCCAGTCCAACTTGTCCAAAATGACCACCCATTGTCAAGGACAAACAAGACCATCTCAGACAGGTGGCCCTTTTAGACAGTGACATTGTACTGTGTGTCACCACACTGTAGAATCAGGCCATTGTCAATTTTTGGACATATGGACTTACTGGCATCACTTTAAAGCTTTTTCATCTTTCTTGCTTCTAATTTTTAAAAACCCAATCCATCTTGAATAGTTAGCAAGGTACTTGTAATTGATGGAGGTGGGGAGCGCCTGGTATCAAATAAAATAAGAAAGAAAATAGCCACACAGAAATGTGTGTTTAACTTAGACACATAAGGTGCTGAGCCCCCCCCCCGAAATTAAAAAAAAAATATCAATGAAATATTGCAATAGGCGGAAAAAAGTCTGTTTCTTCAATTTCATAATTTTGATGAATGCCCAGGGAGGAAAGCAGTCATTTGTACAAGTCATTGCCTTGGACAGGTAGTCATTAGGGCAGCTTCAACTGACAGCAAAAGATCTCTGCAACTGACCTATGAGCTTCATTCTCATTAGTATTTGCAAATCTGGTCTTGAAAGTTCATGATTTTTCTTCAGCATCAGCATGAGGAGCAATACTAGAAAACAAATAATACACATTTTCCAAAATGAAAGAAAATTTTCGTACACATACCTTCAAAAATGTATTAAGGATATTTGAACAGCTTGACGACAAAACACGACAAATGTCACGTTCAAAGATTGGCAAAAAGTAGTACCACTGTATCTAGAAAGGTAAAGCACGTTCCAGGATCAACTTCTTTTTTCATAAAATGTGACTTTTCAACTACTAAAAACTGTGAAAGTTACGCTTTTTTATCTATGGCTCTTTTCGTCTATGCAGACGGTCAATTTAGCTTAAGATGGTCTCAAGGCTGTCTTCATGCAGCTTCTTTCATGGCTAATTCTTCCTATGTTTGAAGCGCAGATTCTGTCGCAGTGCTTGCATGTCAGTGTCGTAGATCGAAGCTCTGTATTTCCGCTGTTTTCCTTTCGTCGTTGGCGCTTCTCGGCCTGTTTGTTTCTAAGGCTGTTCTCTAGCATTTTAGTTCTTTCCTTTATAATTTTCCTCCATGTTTTCCGGTCCTCAGCTATTTCTTCCCAGATGTTAACATCTACTCCAAGCTTAGATAAGCTGTTTTTGCAGGTGTCTTTGTACCTCAATTTTGGTCTTCCTCTTTGTCTATTTCCCTGGGCAAGTTCTCCATAGAGAAGTTGCTTCGGAATCTGGTTGTCATCCATTCTCTTGACATGGCCAAGCCATCTCAATCTTTTTAAACACGGGATAGTTGTCATGCTCTGGAGGTTTGCGCGTGCCTACACTTCAACATTTGTAACCTTGTCACACCACGAAAGGCCTAAAATCTTGCGGCAGCATCTGAGATGGAAAATGTCGAGGCGCTTTTCTTGTCTGCTGTACAAGGTTTTATAAAACCAACATAAACGGCAGACTTTTTTTGACAAACTGCAACACATCCTCTGTGCACTTATTAAGTAAGTTCATTCCTGGAGTCACTGAATTTGCTTGTGGTACACAAAAGTTTATTGGCTGCTCTTTCTCTTCATTACTACTATAATGTGGATATGTCGTGTTTTGTACAAAAAAGTGCTGAGATTTCATTAATTCAAGGGATAAGAATCCAATACAGGTTTCAATATACAACAAATGTCAAATAACCCTTACATCATAATTGCCCTAAAACCAAAGTTGCTCAAGATTGTTCAGCAAATGGGTGAAGAGCAAAAATCTTCGTTATTCTAAAAACCAGAAAAACGTGCTTTGACTGTTCAGTTTTACAAACTGATTGGCAGCTCAGAAAAAGAAATAAAGCAGGAAAGCAGAAATGACATTAAAAATTAACAAGGCCATCTCAAATAGATACACTGTAGAGTTATTTGCCGCTTACAGCAAGTTGGAATTATATAATAGCCATATTTCGCAAGGAAGAAAATATAGTAACATACACAAAAAGTAATCGCAATATCAGAACCCACCAACCCTCTTTTTCCCTAACTTTGCATCTTACAAAGTAAATATTAAGAAAATAACAAACAAATATAACAGAGTCCATTAGAACTGAAGCATTCTGATACAAAAACTATGATCAACTTGCAAAGCTAATAATGTTATATGAAGAAATCGGTTGGGAAGAGGGTGCCTGAGGCACAAAGGTTAGGGAAATACATTATGTTCTAATTGACCTATTTATATCAACCCACCATCATCAATCTAGCTATGTGCCTTCATTTATTTGCCTGAACTTAAACCTAAGAGAGAAAAAAAAAAGATTTTTTTAACACAGTATCCCACTCTAGGCCAGACTTTTTAGACACCCCCCCCCCCCCCCCCCCCCCGCTCTTTAAAAAAAAATTTAAGAGCACAACGTGTAAAACAACTTAGAATTATTTTATTACAGCCTCACTCACCTATCTTGTTCTTGAGAGCCTGCACATTCATGTCCTTAGCTCTCATATCATCACGCATCTCTTGTGAGCGCACCTAGTGAGACAGAAAAAGCAGTTCATTATGATCAGAGCACTCAAAAGACTTACCTATTTACTGAGCACTCTCTTCTACAGCTTTTAGAGAACAGTTCTAATGCCTAGTTAATAAAGAATCCTAATGACTCACTCTTGAAAGAAGCTAAAATAAGGCTTGGCCATCCAGTTTTAACACAAACAAATCGAAGGCTTACATTGCATACAACAACTATTTCAGAAAGCCTGTGGGTTCATCCCTGTGCAACATGTGAGTCTGTCAGGCACATCAATGCTATTATTCACGTTTTTGGCTGTTCATTACAAAGAAATGTCTCTCAGCGGGGAGAACTGAGAAAAATAATGTAAAGTACTTTCCCAGGGATACAACAACAACTTCTTATATAACAGGTCTGGGAATCCAACTGACGACCTGACAATTGCAAGTCTGGCATAACAAGTACCAAACTAAGACATCTGACAATGCCATGAGTAGGCTTGACACTGTCTTTACATTTCAGACAAACAGAAAATTCAGATTTTTTTTTAAATTAAGGAGATAACTTCGTCGCCCATCTTCCAAAAGGGCGTATCATCAAAATTACCGGTTTTGAGTTAACACAACCATGGTATGTCGGGTAGTGAGATATGTGTTCTCTCTAAACGGCGTATCGATAGCTTTAAAAATGGCGGAGTTATGTGTAAAAAACATTTAGCCCTATAGCTCTCGCGCAGGAAACTGCATCTCACATAGAGGCGTATGCCTTGTTACGCCACTTTGTGAGAATATATACAGAGGCATATGACCGTATACACCACGGTATGAGTTGTTTCGTTTTATTTCCTCACTTGTAAATGAGGAGGATATGTCTCATTTCATGTTTAGTAGTCTTGCTGATTCTTTCTCGCTGCATCATTATGGGACTTTTATACGCTTCCTTTCTTTTAGTTAAAGTAGACACGTGTTGTTTTGGTACCTGTGCTTTAAATTTCATCCTTGATTTCAGGATTTGATTCCCATAAACTGATGGTATCTTAGCTCATTTGTAAGATTATAAATATTTATTTTAACAATATTTTCTACTAGTAAAAGTTTTAATTAGGTCAATGAGTCCCCAAAGATGTGATATTGTAGAAAGTTCTAATTATATTGATGATTTAGATGCAGACCCGTCTTTCAAACCTGGTTTGTGTCGCGCAAGAAGGACATATTTGCAGCTTGAGGAAGGTGTGAATTGCTCCAGTGTGATACTATACATACAATCACTTTGTTGAAGAAACAGGCTCATGTGAGCATGGTAGTCTTAAGAAAAATCACTTAGCATTGTGAGAAGAAAATGGATAAAGCCAGAAGAGAATAAGTCAGTTGTCTATGGATATGTACTCAACCTGAACATTTCATGGTAGAAGGTGCTGCCAAGGAAGTGACTGTTCAGAAAGGTCCACAGTCCAATAAGTATAAAGAAGCTAACCACAAAGGACATTGTGGAGAGGAGTACCTTAGCCCTACAACTGAAACACGTTTTGGCCCGCACAGGATTTGAGACAGATATGAATTTAAAAGCTATGAGAAATATTGTCGAAGCTGTCACACTATTGCGAATAAAACACACAAGGAAATATTCCAGCAATGTTACAGACTTGGAAACCATCATCTATAAAATGAGTTCGTTGTTGGTCACACTGACTGCTCTGAAACTATGAAAGGGACGAGCTGTTCTCATGGACAGAAGACCAATACATATTACTTGACTGTCGATGGAATACCGCCATCTATAAGACAACATCAGCTGAAACTATAGAAGTAGAAAAAAGAGGATGATGATGCCCAGCAACTGTCACAGAAAGAGATGAAAAACTTCCCACCCTTATTAATACTCGTTCCCCGCTGTTGACTCACATCACTAAACTATAGGTCAGTTTCAAGTTAAAAGGACTTGCTCTCAAGCCTGAACTGAAGATGAGACAAAACAAATCTGACCAATCGCATCCACGGAAAATCCAAAGTCAGAAGATGCTTTCAGCTCCAATATTTGATCTTCAACATTCATCTATGTTCCAATATTAAAAGAAAGCACTTTCTTGTATCAAAGAAGACTGTCAGGCTATAATCTGACCTTTAACAATCTAGCAGATAAAAGCTGCCACTATTTCACTTTGAACGAGATATAAATAAATGTGGGAATTTGAAATCGTGACTGCTGTGTACAAACCCATAAGTACTATAACTACACTAGGAAGATGCAGAAAGTGAATCTCTTTGTTGGTGGTTGTCCTGGTCAAAATAAATATTCAATCATGCCAGCGATGGTGCGATGGTGTAATATTCTATCATTCAAGGCATCAAAACAACATCAAAGAGACTTCACTCAAATTCTTGGAAACAACTCATTGACCAAACGATGGCGATGCAGTACACAGTAAAAAAAAGCACAGCAGTGTCAAGGGCAGGGGCGTTTTTGTCCCGACCAATTTTAACGGAGGACAATCATAAAACTTACAAGAGCAAAACAGCCACATCATGTGACTCCCATTTGAGCATGGAGGTTTGATTGACTTCAAGAAACTATCTGTCACTTGTGTATATTGAATGTTTGCAGAGATTCAGAAAGGGACGAAATTATAAACTGAATCGATATTATGGAACAGACTAATCAATAACCATTTATTTCCAACAAACCCATCATACCAAACAGTGACCTTTAAGCCCCAGAAAAATCAAGTCAAAGACGTTCCATTGTCTGCACTGAACCATGAACAGCCTAAAAAAACTCCCTATAGCCAAATACACTTTTCATCAGACTGGGGGAACACACAATGTTCTTTTAACTTTGCCACATGTAACTATAACAAGCTACCTCTGTGTTTTCGCATTGAAGTGCCTTTCCATATCATTCTAATCTTTCTTAACAAACATTTGCGTTATAGTTCATTGATAAACGGAGTATTAAAGGCTAAAACGTTCATACGGTATTACACAAATTCATTACCCATGCTCAGAATTTATCGTTCTACAAATATTGTTGTTGTCTAAGGATGGTGCACAGTCCTGAATGAAAGGATCTGTGTGGTACTAGTAATTTTATACTCATTGTATTGTGAAATTCTGCATAAAGCCAGAAGAGAATAACTTGAAGACAAGTAAGAAAGCATAACTCTTTGAGTTATTTACATTTCATATCGTGGAGATACCAAAGCTGTTCATTTTCTTTTTCTTGCTGTTTTTCACATCTCCAAAATAGATCAGTTTGGCATATTGAGTTGATAAGCCTGTTCAATAATCAAGAATAAAATCCCTTTTTTCTTACATTCTATTACCAAACGATGTGGCGTATTGTCAATCTTGTGTCTTTACGGACATAGGTATGTTCTCACAAACAGGCGTATCAGCTATTTCAAATAATTTCTTAAAAACTGATAAAGCAATGTCTATAATCGTTATAGGGAATGATAAATCAGCGGTTGTACTAATATCTTGCCAAAAATGGAAACGAAAAAGCAAATGGTTATGTCACAGCGAGAATTTTAAAAGTGTCCAAAACTTTGAAACGCTCTCCTGAAAAATGCTAAAAATGCTCTTACGCCCTTTTGTGAGATGGGTGACGACTTGTAAGCTTAGATGTTAGGCCTACAGATGTTAAAACACTAACAACATAATCATTTAAAAGCAGCCCTCATGCAATATTTTGGAATACTTTTATTCAATCTTTGAGACCTAGATCTAGAGGAGGACATACAGGGTGATAAAAAAAAATACAACTTTTTTGCTAAGTATCTCCCACAAAATTTGTACTAAAATGTTGTAATTTGGAACAAATTCCTTTCAAAAGGAATTTGTTTGACATAAAATTCACAAAGAAGAAACTTATTTTCAAAAACGGCTTTCATAAAAAAACATCTATAAATGCAAAATGCACGAATTTAAAAGATATTGTAAGGAAAGTCGTGAAATGATTGGTTTGTTTTTTCCTTTCCTTTTATTTTTAAAATCTAATCTTTCCATCTGGTAACCTAAAAACAATATTTCTTTTCTGCTACAGAGTTTAAAAAATATTTTTTAAATCCTGGAATTCCAAGAACCAATGGTCTATATGTCCTCCTTTGGACTCGACACATTTTGTCGTTCGTAATGTTCTGCTGTGGCAAAACACAAGGATCCACTCAACCATGAGTAATCAAAGCCACACACACTGTACACCTTACAGTATGAAGCTGTTTCTAGAGACAATACAGGTGAGGGAGGGTGGGGGAGTGAGGTAGTCCAAATAGACAGCATTTGTGGATTTGATACAACCTGAAAGGTGAATATGGGCTTTGCCAAGGAACAAAATGTCATATAGACGAAATGTTCACGCTTTTCAAGACGATCGAGGAATCGTGAACACATTGCTATCCTCTGATAGCTTCGCAAATGGGAAAATGGTACAGTCGTAGATGAAGATCTACCTTGAGAATGCGGACTGTTGAAATTTAGGAAAGTCATTGCTGCAGACATCGTCTCCTAACAGACCTCTCATGGGGCTTATCTACTGAATTCTGCAACCCAGTAACGTTTAAAGGGGTGCGACGATGTGTGTTCGACCTGAAGTGGTCGTTTTGTCTGGGAATTTTTAGTTCTGATTCTCTACAGGTCCTAACTGATAGACCGTTTTCACCATAAGGGCCCTTTAACATTATTTCTGTACCTTGTGCCAAAATTACGAAACGAGTTGGTGGTGAGGAAAAGTTCAATACAAAAAGCTCTCTGCTCTTTACTAATCTTAACCATGATCTCAGCGGGCAAAGGAAACTTGAGAAAAACTATCTGCAAACTTCTGTTCGACTGTTAGGCTACTGTAGTTTGCAATATGGCGCAATCATTGAGATTTTTAGTGGTAGGCCTCATGCAAACTAGAGCGTCATGCTACAAAAATGGGGACATAGCTGAATATGGGTTGTTTTTTCACGCGTTATGTACAGCAAAACGATTCTGCGGATTTATCTACAGAGAAATTTCTTTTGACTTTCAAATGTTGTGTACAAATTTGAAACACAAAACTTCAGTGTAGAGGAAAATATTCACCAAAAAAAGTTGTACAGTTTTGTCGTTTTTTTTATCTCCCTGTATTTCCAAATTATGGTCACTCTACTCTATGAGAGGAGTTGGGAATGAAGGTTGTGTCCAGCATAGGCACCAAACGAGGAAATAAATTAATATTATAAGCATCAATCATGTACATCAGTCTCAAAATTTCATCATCATCATCAACATTAAATCCAAACGATTTTATTTTTTCCCGTAATGTTTTTCCTTCACATCATCATTAATCATTACTGCAGTTCTCAGCCTGCAATAAGGTATAGGCAACTAACAAACACTTTCTACCTTCCCTATTTAGGGCTGGCCTCTTGATAGTAATCCCACAATTCTGTACATCATTTTCTGTGATTCTTCTCCAGGTTCCAGGTGGCCTTACTCATGACCTCTTACCCTGTGGATTCCAATCCAACACTTTCTTTGTTTTGCAACAGACTGGTTTCCTGAGAGTAGTTTTTTTCCTGAAGCATAACAATTACTACCATGTTGATACATTTTCTACATGATTTACAAATATGGCTGGAAAAAATTAAAGAAATGCAGAAAAAAGTTCAGCTCAAACTCCAAACCTGCAACTTGTTGGCAGTATCTTGAGCTGCCTGTAGCTCATCCTGCAGAGCCCTGATTTCCTCTGCTTTCTCTGACAAAAGTCGATTTGCATCCAGGATGGTCTGCTCCAACAGCTGCCGAGATGTCCGCAAGTTTTCCACTTCCTTTCTGAGATTGTTGTCTCCCCCAGCCCCAGCCTCAGCTCCCTGGGCAGTCGACAGTTTTGCCTTCAAGGCCGTCAGCTGTGCCTGGAGCTCAGCCCTTTCCTGGCAAAGTGAAAAAGTTCATGCATAAAGACAAGGAAGGCATTCTTTTAGAGTCACAAACATTATAATTTGTCATATGTTTCTCTGTCTGTCTATCTCTGTCTCTCTGTCTGCCTCAGTCTGTCCATCTCTCTCTCTCTCGTTCTCTCGTTCTCTCTCTCTCGTTCTCTCTCTCTCTCTCTCTCTCTCTCTCTCTCTCTCTCTCTCTCTCTCTCTCTCTCTCTCTCTCTCGCTCTCTCTCTCTCTCTCTCGCTCTCTCTCTCCATGTCTCTCTGTTTCTCTATCTTTCTCATCATCATCCCAAGCATCACATTTCACTGAAATGTACAGAGATGTTTGGTCATTGCTCAAAAACAATTCAGAATTACCAGAGAAGATCAGGTTCAGCTACATCCAATTCAACAATAATGCCCAGGTCAGACAACCCATGAGAGGGGAGTAAAGGACAGGCGAACAACAACTGTAGCCAGAGACAGAAGAGGAGACCTGTTCATCAGCAGATTCATATATCATTTAGTCATTTCACGTCAAAAGACATGTTGACCACAAAGTTAGATTTTACCAGAGTAAAACTAAGTCTTGGCATACAAATTACCATTTCAACCACTTACTCCGACTTGTGAATACACAACAAAAAAATCCCCATCTTGATCCGCAAGTTCCAGATTTCTTTTTTTTATCTAATACTAAACACGTTTATCATTTAACAGGGAAAATACTTGAAGGTTTACGCTGTATTTAACATTTAGACACAATTCATACAGGGTTAAACGGAAAACAAATGATGAGAATGATAACTGTTTTTTCGATATGAATAACAGAAGTAACAGGATATAAATGGACAAACAGCATCCCTGTTAGAAAACTGTACACCAAAAAAGGAACAAAAAAGACAGAAATTACGGAAACCACCCACCTGCAACATACTCTGAGACTCTTCTGTGAGAATCTCCAGCTGGCCCTGCAGTTTTGCTTTCTGCCTCAGAATTTCATCAAACTGTTTCTTGTCATAAGACCCGGAGGATGGCATAGGTGTGCTGCCAGAAGCAGAATGAAACAGTGTGCTTTGTTCAGGCGTTGCAAACACGGGAGAGTCTTCGCTAATTGGTGACAAATGTGGAGAGAAAAACAAGTCTCTGCTGCTGTCTTTTGGTATGGAGGTGATATCACTGTCTCTTTGTACAACCCTATCAGAGAGAGAGGAACCAGAGGGTGTTGACACTGTGCTGGACAGCTGAGGGGTGGAGGTTATGGGATGCTGTGGGAAGTTGCCTGGTGTAGACTGACCACTGGTAAAAGCTGAAAACTTATTCGCCAGGCCATTTTGCGCCTGCTGGCCTTCTACCACTTTTTTCCTTACATTGCTAGTAGTCAATGCAGCAGATTTTTGTTTCTTCTCCTTGGTTTTCATGGGTTGTGGGGGTAAGAGAGGTGGTAACGGAGCATAAGCGTCCAGATTGATGGGTTTGATAGGCGGGAGCGAGCGAAGAAATTCCTCTGACTCGAGCTGGTAGTTGGTGAGACCGGCAGCTGACAGAGGGGCCTGTAGGTACTTCTCCATCTCCATCTCACTAGAGTAGCTTGCCTCACTGACTGTATCCCAGTTCTCGACAGTTTTGACACCAGTAGCAGTGGCTGACAAAACTTCTCCTGCAGCAAGACTAGGCCCACCTCTTGGGGAGGACAACATGTCCCCTATCCAAGGTTGCTTCTCTGCGAAGGGAGACAGAGGAGTGGTTGGGGTTGAACCAGTAGTCCTTGACCTGTGAACCGGAGACTCAATACTCCCCTTGGAGGAGGTGTCTTTCTCCAGGCTTTTTCCCGCAGCACTGAACCAAGTACCTGAGCTGGGCTTCTCCGTGGTAATCTCTGTAGGGATGACGCGCATGAGCTCACGCTGACAGTCGTCACGGTGAATCTCTTGCAGAGCTATCGGTACAGGCTGGAGTACAGGGGAGGGTTCCGGGCTGGCAAGAATAGTCGGCTTATCCTGTGAAGAAAAAAATCAGAAAAATAAATACTGTGACAAAATTAGTGATATTGGACCAAATGAAAAAAAGCCTGTCATAACAATCAACAAACATGACCATGTACCATTGACAATCAAGAGGGTTCATTTCTATAGTTCACAAATATAAGAATAGGCCTCTCTTTAATACTACAGCACGTACAATGACACCACAATGAGCATGAAAAGCTAGGAAAAACACAAGAAGACAGAAAGAAACAGCATTAAGCAAGGACAAAAGTCGGACCAGTCAACAGCACCATCAGACACTCCTTAATCCAAAAGAGATGGACATGAGAAATTGCAAAAATTGAAAGTAGGCAGGACCTCTAAACAATGCAACTCAACAAATTCTACATCTACTGAAAGTGAGCCTCCTTTACCGTGAATTCATAAACTAGAAATCAGTTTCTCCAACAATAAGTATAAAGGTTGTTCTTAACTTTAGACTTACTTTCACAGGGTCTTTACAACTTTAAAAATTCACATTATACTTACTCTGAAGAGGATTAGTCAATGTAACAAATACCTCTATAGTCCTGGAGTCATGAAAGAAGGATATTTGCGCCTAAGAGTCAGTCAGAAACCATTTCAAAAGTGTGCCTCATTATACTAAGAAAAGAAATAACTATTATTTTCTTGAAGATAAGCGAGAAGAAAACAAAAGTTGTTTTGTGAATTTTTGTTAGAGTTCACGGCACTTGCAGCACAATTAGGTCATGTTAAGTGCCAAAGATTAGAGGTGTTATTATAACTTATAAGAGGGTAACAAACACAAAAAAGAAGGAAGAAAGATAAGGACCACAGATGTTTCAAAGGAAAGAAGGAGAAAACCAACAAAAATTTAGGGAGCTAACACTTACACTATTGGCATCTGTGGTGTAGTGGTTTAAGGCCCTCAACCACTACACACAGAAGACACCAGTTCAATATACAAATGGGGAGATTTTTTATCCAGTATCTCAATCTTTCTGCTGGGACATTGTATTGGGGTCCAAGCCTGCCTCCTATATGATCTAAATTGCGTCAATGGAGACGTTTTAAAAAAAACATCTTCTTTAACTCATTCGCTACGCCGAGCCGTGGGGGTCGGCGCGGCTAATGTGCCGTCAGTACCCTAAGCCGCCCCCGGCGGCTCGAGAACCGATCTTCAATTTTAGCTTAGATTCTATTCCAATCCACATATCCATGTTAAAATAAAGGTCATAATATAATGTTGACTTCCGGGTCAAGCATTTCCACTGAAAATCTGAAATGTAGATTGTTTTGAAACGCGATTTCGTAGTTTATTCGACTTTGTTTTATCGCGATGCCAAAATTATAGTCCAGACACCAGTCTTAGTAATTTTACACAACAAAATCTATAATTATTTTGCCCACTAAAGAAATGTAGGACTATTTTTTATAATATTGATACGATTGGACTCATATTGCCAATGCACTGTCATTGAGAAATCAATATTTTTTAGTGCTAGATCTAGATCTAGATCTAAATGGTCAAAATATTTTTTCTCCCCAAAATCACTACTTTTTGATGAAATTGCACAAAAAGTGCCACTCAAGACACGTATAGGTTTATTCCAAATGCAATTCTGAATAATTCCATATAAGATACGAGTGGGGTTTTTTTCTGTTTGTGATCGTTTTTCAAGATTATTAATTTTTTTTTTTTTTTAAAATATCGGATGTTATGATCCAAATGTACAAATATTATGGAATGTATGTAAATAACTGCAAACTTTTCAATATTTTCCAGTTCTATATGCATTTACGGTTATTTTGATGTATCATTTGATTAGGGGCAAACATATTTTTTGAGTTTCACCAAAGATTATTAATTTTTTATTTTCAAATTTTATCCGCATCCAATCAAAATTGTGTTGCATAATCGCCTCTTACAGAAACCAAAGTTGAAAAATACATAAATAAACATTACAGATGTAATTTACAAACCATACTGAAAATATTGGTATATAATATGTTGATATTTATTTAAATTTGTGGCCCCAAAGACCTTTTAACTGCCCACTAGTCATCATCTCTTTCGCCCTCCCGATGAAAAAATTCGTCCACAAGCCGAAAATAATACGTAGCAAATGAGTTAAAAATTAAATTACACTTACACAGGTGAAGAGCGTTGGAGAGGCGGTTGGGGTATAGTTGCCAGGGAGAGGGCTGCTGTCGCCAGTTTTGATCTTCTGCTCTGCCTGAGCCACAATCTGTGCCACAACATCAGGAGGAGCAGGGGCCAGTGACTTGTTGCCTGCCAGGGGAACAAAGTAAAACTCTGAGAGGGACAAAAGTATTGTTGTGGAGTTACCACTTACACTTAATCACTACAATGACATCCACATTCACCAGGAACAGATCTAGAAAAACAACCAATGTGCCTATTTTGTGACCATGACCATGTCTACAAAACAGTTCAACGTCTGCTCTTCAAATGTCCTACACTGCAGGATCTCCAACAGCAGCTTCTTCCTCCCATTCCGACCGCAGACAATACCCTATACTGCAGTAAAGAACAACTTTTGGAAGAAGACTTAACAAGGAATCTTCTTCTTCAGGTGTTAGGTCTGGAGCAGACACTGAAGGTCATGGTACTCTGATCCTTCCTGTTGTGTCGTCTTGATCAGCTCAGTTTTTCTCTTTGTGCTGTTCATTGCAAAGTTGTTCAGGGCATCTGTGTATGTTGTTCTTGGTCTTCATCTGTTCTTCTTTCCCTCTATCTTTCCAGACAGCAGCAGTTTCTCTAGTCCAATTGATCTATTTACCTGGCCACAGAACCTCAATTGTCTTTTCTGATGGTTCTGATTATGGATTTTTCACATCCTGCCATTTGGAGCACCTCTTTTTTTGTTTTCCTCTCTCTCCCTGAAATTCTGAGTATTCTCCAGTGTTTTCTACATGTCTTTGTTTAGAGTCCAGCACTAGCATCCATACAAAAGGATTGACCATATGTATGCTTTCAGGGTTCCTATTTTTGTGTTTACGAATTTGTTCCTATTTGAGAGGATAAGTTACATATTGCTGAAAGTTTCTTTAGATATAAAAGAAAAGCTAAAAATACGAAGAAATAGCAGGCCACATCACATCATTACGTAAAGAACCTGTAATAACAGAGAAAAACAATTGTATTTGAATCTGCAATTAGTGTATAGAGTACATCTAATGGAAGCAGTACTCCATTTATAAAATATGACAAATAGCGTTTTGGGTTATCATCATGGTCCTTGTGTTTTGTTAAAGCATGATGAATATTGTTTGTCACGGAAGCATCTTGTCTCCTTCACCTCATAAGAAAAATTGGCGAATGGTGTACATCATTTAGGTCACGAAGAGGTTAAACTAAGAAAAGGCATTGGGAGGGAAAATGGCAAAAGTATAAAATGTAAAAATGAGCACAACACAAAAGAATGAACACAAAAACTTGAGATGTAAATTAGACATAAAATCATTAGCAGCAATGGGCAGTCAAGTTCAGTCTAAGTCTGTGGCTCTTGCAATCCTTTATGAAGAAGCTCATAGGAATGTGAGTTACCCTCTGAGACGGTGAAACTTTTTGGTTACACACTAAAAACACAATGGATCACATTTTCCCCTACAAGATAAGATCCCACACTTGGTTTCCGCTAGGACTTTTAACTCATTCAGGACGCAGGTTTTCGACCAGCTTTGCACCCAGAGACACGCGATTTTGTGTCAACTTTGAAAGTCTGCCATTTTTTTCCCTTTTGATATTTTAAAAGTCTGTTTTCACTATCTACACATTCAACATTTGGACTTTGCTTTAAATCTAATAAAATTTGCCTGGATACATTCCTAAACTTGCCATGGTCCCTCCAAAAATGGAGTATGAGACCAAAAAAAAAATTTTTTTCCTCTAAATTGACAATGAAAAAGTGCAGAAACAAACAATATAAAGTTACAACACAACTATAATGTAGCTAAAAACACATCACAACACAATATACAGTCCAAATACTGTAAAAAAAATAATTCTAGTCACAGTGAATAGTCCTTCTTTGTATAGTACTCCTCGAAGATCTGTGTTCTTTGTCGCCTCGACTGCCTTCATAAATCGCCACAAAAAATTACAAAAAACGACACCATACGGTCAAGAGTAAACAAATGTTAAAAAGTAGCTTAGCAATGTCAAAAAAAAGTTCCCTGGAATATCTTCATTTGTGCGGCCACAACGGTCGAGAAATGCTATAGGACGTATACATCGGATGCGTCTCCAAAGGAGCTAAAGGCTGCGTCCTGAATGAGTTAACATACAGAAGTCTTCCCTTGGATTGAGTCCAATGTACTTGTAAGCAGTTACAGTAAAACACACTGGCAATTATGAAACTGAATCTCATCAGACCTACCTATGACAGACCATTGCAGTTTGAGGGCTTCAGCAACAGTCTCAAAACTGTTGTCCTCTGCACTGGGTTCAGCCGCCTTCTGTGAGCTCCCCAAAGATGGCGGAGAGGACAAGGTCTGAGAGTTGGGTGTAGATCGAGCTTGCTGGGACATTGTGCTTGGAGGTGGAGGGATGGGAGTGGAGGGGGAGGTCACAGTACGGGCCACAAATTTCTGAATCCGCTTGCCTTTCTTCCCAACTGCTGATGTATTGGCAGAAATCTAAAACAAGAGACATGAGCAGTTAAACACTCACTGAATTGTCGTTTGTTCTTTTTTATGCTTCAAAGAAAACTATTTAGAGATCAATTTGTTACAGTAACTTCTTTTTGAAAAGAAGCATATCTTACTTTAAACTCTTCTTCTTCTTCCAAAGGACACCAATCTAATTTTATCCAATAAAATTTTGTAATGGTCTATTTCAATCTCCTTTCTTTTATTCACCGTAGTATCTTGATACATATACAATATAGGAGTCCACTTTCTTCTACAGCAACCAAAAACTGTCTCAAACCCTATTCATTTCAACTTGGAAACAGACACTTGTGTTTCTTGTGAATGTTCACTGTTTCACTTCCAAAATGGCCAAATGGGATGAATTAGTGCAACCTGTGAGGGCTTCACAGGAATCGCTTATCTGCACACAATTCACTGACATTATTCTATGCAAGGGGCTATATATATGTAATCTTTGGGAGAATACTGTAACTTTGTATGTCTGTAAGCAATATACAATAATAATATAATATAAATACTCAACTCCAGTAAAGCGCTTCACTTAAAGAAAAACAATTGGAATGAAAACTATGCCTGGGGTTAATACAGGCATTTACACACAGACATATGGATACACTACCAACATATATTGTACAAGCAACATGGTCTAATCAGAGATCATGAATTTACATAGTACAGTTTTTAACAAACCTCCATTCATAAAAAGTTCAGTAACGAGCATGGCTTCCTCATGCTATTTTGGAAGCGAGTATTCAACATCGTATAGATCGAACAAAACCTGAAATAGCCCTCTGTGGTATGTCATTCCATTCTGCTCATATTATATACAGCTGAACCAGCCTTAACAGAAACCTCTATAAGACGGAAACCAGTCTAACATAGAAACAGAAAGAGAAATCCCTTCCCTTCGGAGGGTTTTTACCAGTCTAAGTAAATGCTTTGCCAGCTCAGCCCTGATTTGAAACAAAACTACAGTCAAACCTGTGTAAGACGGCCACCCATTGTCAAGGAGAAAAGTGGCCATATATTATAAGACAGGTGGCCGTCTTAGGCAGGACTGATCAAGATGAAGAAAACAAACCCCATTCCCAATCGAAAGTAGCCGCATTATTGTTGTTTTTGTTGTTGTTGTTGGTTAGTATTTTGTTTGTTATTTTTATTTTGTTGCTGATTTTGCGCAAGGGTGACAATAAAACGAAATGCGTCAGACAAGGAGGACCGAGTGCTATGGTAAAACAAACATATGGGTCGCCACCACTTGAAGAACGAGCGACGCTTCTGTCACAAGTCCATGTTGACGTCCATTGTTACTTTGTTACAGACTGGGTAAACAGTGACAACTTATCTCACTTACGATTTGTGTATGAGTTCTGGGCGGGGCTTATGAGTTATGAGGGATCACACGCTTCCCTCACCAGCAGCTGGAAATTGGTACCTATTGGTCAACAGTGGGAGGGGCCTTCGCAACATGATGGGTTGGAGGGACTACCTAACAACAACGACGGTGATTAGATTATGACGGCTCGCTCACAACGCCAAGGGTCAATGCATAATTAATGACAAAAAGTAATGGAGTCACTAAGGTGGCCGTCCAAGACAGGAGTTATTGCTTAGTGTGATAGGGGTTGTGTGTTAAAATATGGTGGCCACGGCAGCGTTGTACAGGTGCCCGTTTTACAGTTAAATTATATAGAAAAAAAGCAAGGGGGGAAATGGAAAATGGCCATTTGTACAGGTGGCCGTCTTATAGAGGTGGCCGTCAGGGCAGGTTCGACTGTATTAAGTTTGGTTCCATCAGCTCTAACCTAGGGTATCTTAGTATGCAGCATGTACTAAGAAAGCCTAGATGTTACCCCATCCATGTGAACCTTGGCCATCTTACTAGATAGCGGTAGAGGGTCTGAGCAGTGTGGATATGAAATCACACCCAGTGGCGGGGCGCCATTGGTGCAATTGGTACAAGCGCTCCACCTAACCCTGGCTTTCACCCCCCCCCCCCCTTTACTAATTGTTCTAAACCAGTCAGAGTTCTAGATCTACATTACTATACTACATCCTTGTGATCCGTCACCCGCTGGCTGCACCAGTGAAGAGACAGACGGTGAGGATGGTTTAAGCTCGTCGCACGGCTTGCGGTAGTGTCTGCTGGGAGCAAGGAAAATCTTTGCACCAAAGTTATTTTTGTCACTGTAGAGAAATCTAGGCATCATTCTTCCCGTACAAGAAGAAAGGTGCATGAAACTGCTCTTCGCAGCACCAATTTGGTGCATGATAAAAATTTTATCCAAGTATCGAAACTGTTTTCTCCTTCTATTGTGTAGCAAGTCCCGGTGCTGCATGAAGTAATTACAAATCTTTAAATGTATATATGTTACAGCTGTGGGAATTCAACATGAAAATAAGCACATCAAAAACAGAAGTTATGAAAGTGAGCCAAAACCATAGTCCCCTGAACATCCATGTCAACAGTAAACAACTGAAACAGATGAAGGAATTTAAATATCTCGGCAACACTTTTTCTGAAAACAGGTCCATAGACAGAGAAATAGAATTTGCCAACGCTGTCACCTACCAGCTCGCACCCGTCCTATCTCATCCAAACATCTCCATGGACACAAAGAGACAGCTTATCACCTCAATATTCATACCAACATTATGTTATCAGTGCCAGACCTGGACTTTAAGCAAAACCCATGAAAGCAAAATCACTGGATGCGAAATGAAATGCCTCTGCAAAACCTTTAACATCACTAGACAAGACAGGCAGAGAAATAAAGAAGTAAGAGCAGCTATCGGCACTGAGTCCAGCCTGTGTTACATAGAAAGACAGAGGATAAAATGGTTTGGCCACCTGTCCCGCATGTCACCTGATCAGCCAGCCTCGAGAGCCTACTACACCAAGCACTCAGGCTATAAAGGAAGAGGAAGGCCACGCAAAAGGTGGATTGAGTGTGTCAAGGAAACCCTAAGAAAACATAACATCACAACTGAAAGAGCTGCGGAGCTGGCCTACCATAGAAAACAGCATCTCCCCTTGACACTTAACGGCAACAGAGGATGAAAAAGTAAAAGTAAAGTTAGTATATAATATATATATATATATATCGTTATATATGATAAAAAATAAAAAGGTACCACTTTTGGATTGCGTATAACTAATTAACATGTAGTCTTTTGCGTCCTTACGCTTTTTTTTCGTATGTGTAATAACACTCTAAAAAGTAGACCAAGCTACAAAAATAACATTTTCATGCTTCAATTAGTATTTACTGCACCAACATTAAAAAATAGAAAACTGGCATTTTTTCCCAATCATAAGGCAGATTTTTTCTATTCTTTTTTTTTTTAGAGAGTTTAAGTCTTCGCCTAAGATCCCAGTGCTCAGGAGCAAGGAAAATGCAGGACCTTAAGCAAATGGAATCTTATCTAAAGCACTGAAGGGAGACTCCACTGTGACTCATTCATTATTTCCCCTTACTTTGAAATGAACTGACCTGACTGCTGGTTGGGTTTATGACTTTTGGCAAGCAAAGAGATGTCAGCCTTGATACCAATCACAATAGTATTCCATTATCACTTATCCAATCATGAGTCTCAAGACCTACATAAATCCTATTTTGATCCTCCCCTTTATCAGTCCAAAAATGTATTGCTATGTCTGTGACAAAGTTCATTGCTCCAGTCATAACACACCGATGTGTTCTGAAGCATGGATTGAAATTCAGCCTGTCAAGTTAATTCAGGGATAGAGATGAAAGACAACTGCTGCGATGCTCGGGGATACAAAAAAGCACCGAAGAGTTCACAGTTCGATGTGATCTCATCTGATACAGCCTTGAAGGGACAGTGTGTGAAGTAAGTTCAGGTAGAACGCTCAGATGCGACGGCGGTGTATAGGGAAAACAAACGTGTCCAGTTCATACCTGGGTATGACGCTATCCGAGCAAACATTGTACCTTCTCGCTGAGATTTTAAATCCGGACACCATCACATTCACAAGAGTGGATGATCTGCGATGCAATAGGTAGTACAATGATCACAAATTTTTGTTGCTGGGTTGATCAGCTGCACCCGCCCTGGTTTTTGTTCCATAAATTATGATCTGAAAAGCCGGATCTAAGCCAAATGTAACCCTTTAGAGTGGCTTTTCACAATAGTAAAAATGTATGTTTTCTTAAAACAGCAGGATTGTAAGAAGTGGGGTCTTAGGTGGAGAATGCTGTATATCATAAACTTTGGAAAAAAACACAGGCTAATGTCTTTGTATCATAACCTAAAAATAAAAGTTCAGAGCCGAGCATGTATATGTGTGGGAATGAGGGTGAATGTGAGAGGATATAGGTAGTGTATACATGTTTGTGTGTTCATGCGTGTGTGTGTATGTGTGAGCAGGTCATATAGGTGTGTGTGAGAGTGAGTAAGTGTCAGCATCTGTACCAGTTCATAGCACCGAAGCCACTTTCAGCACATCACAATCTATGATGCAGCCCTTGGAATTTTGCCTACCCATTCTTTACATGGAAGTCATATAGTTAGTAGTATGTTACATATAAATATGACGTCAGGCAGATAGTATCTATCAAAGAAGCAAGAAAAAACATTTTGGCCGGGGGTTGGATGGAGTGTGCGGGTGGTCAAAGGATAATTGATGGAAACACAACATACAAGATACATGGACACCTGTATAACTCTTGAGAATAGACTACAACTTACTATAAAATGTTTACACTTAATTTTACATAAGCATTCAAACCGCATAATTACAAGAAACTAATTATACCATTACTATTACTAGTATTACTATCATTATAATAATACATTATGATTATTAAACAAAATAATACCCAAAAAATGAAGTATGTCATTATTATCAGTAAGGGTAAGTAAAAAAATCATTTCAAGCATCTACTTCAATTTATGTATTACTGTTTGGCAGAAATTACAAAAATTAAAGGCAACAACATATAATGAAAACCTTAATGACAAACACTATAGCTACTTTATGCTGTAAAACACATAGAGACTTGTTAATAATGGCAGTAAACCAAAGACCATTATTGTTTTAACTGAACAACAGCTGCTTTAGATTTTTAATTGAGAAGGCGTTCTGCCTTCCATGTACATTTAGAAGAAATAATTGTTGGTTACTACCCATCATGGGCTTAATTTTCAAAAGAAAAAGGTATTTTGCCTGATGTCTTGAATTCACAGTGAGTAAACCGGATAAAAAAATCTTTATAAAAAGACTGATCTTGGGAGAATCTGAAGTAACATACTGTGTGGCTTCCCAAAATCGAGGAAATTCATTTGTATAAACTTAATGAAAAATAGAATAAGTATAGATCTAGGAGTATATGTTTAAATAAACTTGTACCTGAGTATGATAACTGACTTGATGGCCAGATGAAAAAATGTGGAGCAAGAGGAAAGAAGTCAGATTAAACTCTCGTTATGACCTAATAAGAATCTCTCTTGGCCTCAACCTTAAGCTTTGTCCGTCTATCTCACACTCTGACTTTCTCACTTATACAAGAATGGACATCTTTTGACATATTTCATGAAAATACTGAAATGTCCATTAAAACACTATTGCTGATGCACACAAAATAAATGCCAGTAGGGTTGATTAACAAAATATATATATACAATAAAGAGGTGGCAGAAAATGTAGTCTTTCAGCCACACCCCTGATCTTATGGTGGGAAAGATCTACACCTAGCCTTCTCGGACAAGGGCGCACATTAACTCATTCGCTACGTATTATTTTCGGCTTGTGGACGAATTCTTTTCGGGAGGGCGAAATGAGATGATGACTAGTGCACAGTTCACAGGTCTTTGGGGCCATAAATTCAAATAAATATCAACATATTATATACCAACATTTTCAGTATGGATTGTAGAATACATCTGCATTATTTATTTGCGTATTTTTCAACTTTGGTTCCTGTAAGAGGCGATTATGCAACACAGTTGTGATTGGATGCGGATAAAATTGGAAAATAAAAAATTTATAATCTCAGGTGAAACATAAAAAATATGTTTGCACCTAGTCAAACGATACTTCAAAATAACCATAACTGTATATAGAACAGGAAAATATTGAAAAATGTGCAGTTATTACATACATTCCATAATATTTGTACATTTTGATCATAACATCCGATATTGAAAAAAACATTTTTTTTAAATAATTGGAAAAAAGGATCACAAACAGAAAAAAATATGCGTATCTTGTATGGAATTATTCAGAATTGCATTTGGAATAAACCTATACATGTCTTGAGTGGTAGCCTACTTTTTGAGTAATTTCACCAAAAAGTTGTGATTTTGGGGATAAAAAAATATTTTGACTATTTAGATCTAGGCCTAGATCTAGCACTAAAAAATATTGATTTCTCAATTACAGTGCACCGTCAATTTGCGTCCAATTGTATCAATATTAAAAAGAAGAGTCCTACACTTCTTTAGTGAGCAAAATAATGATACATTTTGTTGTGTAAAAGTACTAAGACTGGTGTCTAGGCTATAATTTGGGCTTCGCGATAAAACAAAGTCGAATAAACTACGAAATCTTGTTTCAAAACTGAATCAAAACTTCCGATTTTCGGTGGAAACGCTTGACCCGGAAGTCAACATTATATTATGACCTTTATTTTAACATGGATATGTGGATTGGAATAGAAACCAAGCTAAAATTGAACGTCGGTTCTCGAGCCGCCGGGGGCGGCTTGGCGTACTGACGGCACTTGAGCCGCGCCGCCCCCCACGGCTCGGCGTAGCGAATGAGTTAAAGATCCCTTAGTGGTCCAAAATCTATAAGAGTAGGCTTCAGCCGCCACCCAAGCAAAATTCATTATTTCCTACCAACTGAAAAAGTTTGATGTGTCCCTCGCACTCATATGACCTTATGCAGTTGCGAGCGCCTTAAAACACTTACCAAAAAAAAAGAAAGAAATGTAGTGCAGTAGTCTCCGCTTAAGATCCCGGTGCTCAAGAGCAAGGAAATGGCGGGATTTTTGGCAAACGGGATCTTAGCCGACACATCAAGGGAAGAATCTTCTGTTACCTGTGTTAAGGTCCACAACCGGTAAAATGGTCTCTCTTCACTCTATGATAAACTGATGTGACCCTGGGTGGGTTTATGACGTATGGTCAGCAAATCACAGTGCCATTAGGCATGCCATTTTCACTTAATATCATATCGTGAGCCTCAAGATCTACGAATACCCAGTTGCCCTTCCCCTTTACCTGTCCAAAATTTTAGCTTTCCATCTTTGACCGAGTTCCCACGCCTTTGTCATTACGCACCATTACGTGGTGACCACACCAAGTAAAGATCAGTTTGTCTCGCAAATTCGTGAGTAGAGACAACTGTAGCAATGGTCAGGGAAGAGGTCACAGTTCGATGAGATCCTGCCTGGAGCGAACTTGTCAGCCCTACCAATCCAACGAGTGATGTAAATTTAGGTGGAGAGCTCAGATGCGCATGCGATGTTTGGGGAAAACAAACGCATTGGTCAGTTCACACTTCGGAGTGATCCTGTTGGGGGCAGAAATTGTACCCTTTCATAGAGTTTTACAACGCTTATGTGATCACATTCACGAGAGTGGCTGATCTTTGACACATTGAGCAGTTCGATGATCTCAACTTTTCACTATTGGCGGATCAGCTGTGCCCGCCCAGGTTTTTGTTCCATAAAAATGATTATCTGAAAAGTGGGATCTTAGCCGAATGTAGACCTTCAGAGTGAAATAGAGGGGGATCTTAGGGGTGACTTTTGTGTTTAAAACAGCGGGATCTTAAGCAAACTGGTATCGTAAGCGGTGAGAACTTAGGCAGAGACTACTGTACTTGTTAGTAGATGATATTAAAAAAGGTACCAGCCACTGGGGAAAAAAATCATGTTGCATGCCCCAGGGACAAGATGCTAAGAAGGACAATATTAATACACTTGAAATGTTGGCTTGTGTGTAACATCCTAAAAAAAAGTGCAACATATCTAAAAAAAAACAATTTTAATTTTAATTTAAGAAAGCAAGAACCCTCACTTGAGCTAATATCTTCAGCTGTTGCTGAGCTGTGGTCACAGGAACCGAGGAAGACTCACGCTCTGCTGACAGAGAATCTCCGAGAAAACCATCCGGGTGTATGAGGAAAGTGCGGTGTGGTGGACTGCCTTGAGATGTATCACACCACACAGACTGGTGTTGAAAGCTGTTGCCAGTCGGTACACCACCACTGGTTGTCTGAATGCCACTTGCTGCTGAGTATGTATAATCTGCAATTGTCCAAACATGCACATGAGTCATTACCTTACACTTCTTCCACAAATACAAAAGAGTACATGCTGTCCTCCATGGAACTGTATTGGAAAGGTTGACTGGAAAAAAAGGTCACGAAATCATTTAAATTATCCTTTAAAAGAGAACCAGTTACCAAGAAGTACAAAACCCCTTCACATGCCTTTGAAGGTACCAACTGCTATCAGCTTATCCAATCAATTAACTGGTTGATCCATTTGTCCATAACTTTTGAAAAACAAAAGCACTGTTTTCTTCAAAACTTTACGAAACAATAGATATCGACTGTGAAAGTCGCAAACCCTGTAAGTCTAAAAATAGTACAGTGGAACTCAGATTTAACGAGGTCGCTGGGCCTGACCTAAAATCTCGTTGAATCCGAGTGTTCGTTATAGCAAACATGAGGTTTTGTGCAGATAATTACAGGCATTGAGCAAGTAATGTATAAAGAGAAGTCACAAGTAGTGCCTGAAATGCCTGCATATTATGAGCTGTGTAAAAAAAGATTGATTTGTTCAAATGCACACGCCTGTGTCATCTCGATTGTTTACCAAAAAGTTGTGTTGCTGTGTGGTGTAGAGCCTAGCATACGGCAACTTTTGATTCCATAGACCAATGCATAATTCCTTACGTAGATCTACGTCAAGACTAGCTTATCATTGTAACAATGATCAATTGCCAAGGGAAAAAAAGACTGTGACGCGTTTGTGTCTGCAACATTCAACTCCGGACCGCTAGTGCCCCCCTCCCTCCCCGACACGCACACACAGCCACACATGTGCAGGCCGCCTATCCAATCCCGACACACGCCAGAGTAGACACATGCGCGTGCCGACAACGCATGTGTTAGTATGAAAAAGGGCGCTGATTGGTCACATGCAATCGGCTAAGTGACTAATGGTTCACGATGCAGGTGCAGTGGATGGTTTCCTGGAATAGATGAAGTTCGTTCTGAGAGAAAAATGAGCGAAGCCACGTCTGCGGGGGCTGTTGACCCTGGAAGCGACCTCGTTGAATCAGAGTTATTTTTATTGATTTTAAAGAAGAAATTAAAGGTGGAATCTATCTCACCTCATTGAATCCGAGTTCTTGTTGAATAAGAGCTCGTTGAATCCGAGCTCCACTGTAATATTGTTTGTTTTTTTATATTTATCATTATAGTAAAATTCACAGAGCCACAAAGCATGTTCTGTTCTGATTTAGGGACACAATAAGCAATAGAAATGCGTGTAACCATCAAATGAGCAGCCAGTGTATCCCTACTACATCTCAATATTGACGGTGCATACCGTGTAAGTCGGTTGAACGATACTCAGCCGTCCATGCGGATGAACATACCCAACGAAAAAGGAGCACTCAAAACTTGGTTTCAAGATGTTTGGGCGAGTCAAGTCATATGAGATGCCAAGAGATGGCAGAAGAAATAATATGGAAAATACACGTGGATGGGACTTTTAGAAGTAAAACCGTCCGTGACACCCACAAATTAACACTTTGCCATCATATTTTGGGGAAAATCAAAAGAAACTGGGAGGTAAACATCGACAATTGGCGAGATGAGGCAGCAAAGTATTAAAGAAAGAACAACAGAAGCATCTGTTTCGAGAAGACAGGCTCCCCAGGAATGGCACCGACAGAGCAGCAAAGGAAGAAACAGAGGGTGCAAAACTATATCTATCAACACAACTGGTTGGAAACAGTGGTACCTCTGAAATGCCTGAAAGAGCAGATCAGAACAGATAGTTCAGAAGTTCTTCTCCAACTACAGAGACTTTGGAGTAACCAAGTCTGTAAAACCTGGAAATAGTGAAGGTGATGCTACTGTCACCAATCTTCAAGTATTGTAATATCGTCCTTGTGGAACCTTCCTTTATGAACTAGAGCTCACGGATGACTTTAGAGCTTTGCATTTGTCAAGACGTGGCAAAATTAAATAGAGAAAGAGGAGCTGTAGTGAAACTGAAAATCCCAAACAACTTAACACAGCATGTCTAAAGATTAAAAAGACAAAATACGATCATATACAGTCCATGAAGCATATTGTCCTGTTTGATTCGCATGCATTTTATGATGCTTTACCATATTGAAATGGTAGCATTTAGTGGATACTAATTTTATCGTTTCATTCGTGAATCGCCAAATTCAACTTTTGTTCAAAATATTATTTTCAAATTCTGACCATTAAGCAAGCTGGCTTCCAACCCTGCCTGTCAGGGGAACCCAGGCTGAGAAGGATACAACATTCCAGCTTAAAGACTGAGATACTCTCTAAAGATTTCTCCCCAGGAACCGAACTCGAGACTCCTGTGTCGATCAGTAAAGCGTCAAACCGCTACACCACAGTGACTGACTCCAGTCTCATTTTTGTTTTGAATAGAGACATACAAAACATGACGATTAGAGTCATGTAGGTTTATATCATTGAGCATAGAATCTTTTCTTCTGATTTTTCTTTTTTTTTAATTCTAGAAATTGACCTCAACACTTAAACAATGTTAGGAAATTGGCATATTTGGGGGGGGGGGTTAAGCCAAACATGTAAATCTTATTTAAGTTATGGACAATTGTGATAAATTTGGTTTTATACAGACACTCATTACTTTTGTGTTTCCATTAATGTCACCCATAACTACATGTGTGTAGTCAAAGTTAGTTCAACAATGTCTAACAAGTAGTAACGGTGATGTAGAGTAAGGTAATTAGTACTTATAATATGCATAACAGGCTATAGTTTGTTCACTTTCTTCTGACAGCGGTTAAAGCAAGATAAAAATGAAATCGCTCTGTTCAATCTTCTCAGATCTTTGTACACTGGTCTAAAAGTTGGAGACCAACAGAATCTAAAAACCCATTTTTAAAGGTCAAGGTTCCGACACGTTTTCTTTGATGTAAGCCTAAAGGGGGTACAAAAAATAATGCGGGATTTACAGCAGAAACTTAAAACATAAAATTTGACATATTTCCTCAACACCACACTTTAATGTACACCAAAGAAACACGATTCAAGACACGGGGTGAGTAATTTTCAAGACTCACGTGGGTGGAGCACATGGAGACGTCAAGACAGCTGGGGGGATGAAATCGACAAGCTTACACTGAAATATGGAGGCAGGGTGGTGTCGCTGTCTCAAAATGAGCAATTTGAAAGCAAGATTACTGTAAGTCATTTATTTTAGAGATCCTGTCTATGCACCCAAAGAGGGACCAAAGAGAAAAACACTGTATCAAGATTTTTTAATAATATTTTTGTTTCGTTGCTGGCCTGCAGAAGTGCCATACAAAGATTCCTGAATGAGCTAGAATTTGTTTAATGCGGTCAGACAAAAGTGAGCAAACTATAACAAGACTGTGGGTCTTGTTCAATGTATAATGCGCTGTTGTCGGCCAGGAGAGTAAAATACCATTGTAAAGCACCAAGAGCGTGGTTTATATCGCAGTCTATATCAGTGCTTGCTTAATAAGTACCTTTTTTCTTTGTTTTGTGACTCAATATTACGAGCCTGATTTCAGAGATTCAAACCTTGGACCTCCATCACCCGTAGAGAGTGACTAGACACTAAACCACCTTAACATAGGTCCATCCTCTCCCAAAATAGAAAGTAATTTCTGAAACATTTCTACATTGGTTTTTGACAAAATCCTGGAACATTAATTGAAATTATTCATGTCATTAACATGTATTTTAAAACATTTTATAGGCGCAACTCGTGTAACTCTCAATTTTACATGAGAGAAGAACTTATTTAAACCGTGTATCTCCCTAACCGTGTATGTTGCTGTCAATTCTGAGACTGCAAAACGTGTAAGTCTGATTTTAAATAATCCAAACAAAATTTAGCCTTTAAAATTACATCTATTCAAAGATAACATCTTATTAGCGCCAGAAACGAAAATAGAACAATATGTTGGTTAAAATAACATTTATACAGTATTTTGTGTTTATCTCAAAAGAAGTATTTCAAGACTTAAACAGTTTGCGACTTTTACCGTCGATATGTATCTTAAGATTACACAGGCATCCTTTCCTCCCGATACACACAAAAATTAGTTCCCAACTTCCAAACTTGCATATCTTCCTTGATAACCATGAATCAGCATGTGAGCTTCAAGACAACAAAATGGAATTTGCTCTCAGGTTAGGACCATTTTAGGCACACTTTTCACTTTGAGTAGTTCCAGTGCATATTTTTGGTCACATGCTTGGACAATCATATAAAACTCCAGCTTATAGTATCAGTTTTGTTACAATTAAACCTTGTTCAAAAAACAAACTTTACACAAGAATGAAGTTGGCAGTACAGCGAAGCTGGGGTATAATGGAGTTTTAATGCTGTTCTCTGTTAAATAGCACCAACTACCTCATGTCAAAGGAAATGACTCTACCATAACTAGATGAAGGACAATATTATAATGAATTTTCAACACTTCCTTTTCTCTGAAAATTAAAATGGCCTCCAGATTTCCTGCACAAAATAATCACTAGCTCACAGAGTCGTGCATGGGAGAGAGAAAGATTACCACTGAGCGGCTGCAAAGTGGGTGCTGTGCATTATATGTGTAATGTGTACCTCACGGCACACCAGCAGTGGAATTTTAGATGCCGCAGGGGGTTCCCCGCCGAGCGCCTTATCACGTCGGGGTCACAGGGGTCAGCTCCCTGTCGCCGCTCTGTCTAGGTCGACTTAATTTTTGGTACTTTTCAACGTACAATTTAAGGTGTATCCTTGTATTTATGGTAATTCTCATTTAGTGCACCCAAAGCATGCATTTCTGCTCTTGAGACTCAAAAGAGAACGGACGTTGTAACTTGTCTGGTTATTTCGTTAGATGCACTAGAGTCGGTAATGCTATATTGTAATTTTTTTTTTGACTAGCGTGAATAAAAAAAATCAATATAAAAAAAGGCCTGGTCAAAATCTGTCGAACTTTTGGAACACGAACGACATAGCATTGGTGCAGATACTCAGAAAAGATGGTATCTACGCATATAATAGAAAGCTGTAATTTTGCAACTTTCTCAATTGGGCACACAATTCGCTATGAAGTAATTCCTCCAAATACAACTTTATGTGTCTAATATAATCGTGAATATTCGCATATTTTCTCTAAAGTTTATAAAAGTCATCATGAAGTTTCTCGATAAAAAGTACAAATCGTTTTTAGTGCTAGAATACATCTTCAATGTAGATCTAATACACGAACAGCATCTGTTACACTCCAGAAATTCCTTACTTTTCTTAAAACTCTAAGTCTAGGTTTTGTAAGTTGACTGAATAATAAGGATGACTTCTCGTAATTGGGTTATAAGAATAATTTCTAGCTTTCCAGGGACACTGAATCAGCACAGACTTTTCCAGCTTTATTTTTCGTTTCTATGACCATTTGCAATAACTGACAACGTGACTGATTTCTTTACATTCATAATTGTGTCCGCGCATATTTCCGACACAAAAACTAAGAATGAATGTGTTAGCTGTCATTATTTTTATTCCATACAAGAAGTTTATCTCTACCCATGTATTTACACGGTTTTGTGTTTTTTTTAATCGCTTAGATTCTATATTATATCTTTTTAGTTGTATGCAGGCTGCCACAGACACGGCATGATTCATGAACAAATGCAGAGTAACTTTCTCTTGTTAAATAGTAAAATAAGAGCTAACGCTGATCATCTTTAGTTAAAAGATGCAGATGTGCATCTTTCTTCTCTTATAACTTGACTATTTCTATTCGCGCAGATTCAAGATTTCTCATGGTAAAAGACATGATATTCGTAGTCAGTTTAACACAGATTTTGGAGAGATCTGTCGTACCTTTTTTTAATTTAAAATCATTTATTCATAACTTTGTAACTAAAATAGGACAAATTGGGTACTCTACAAAAACTTGTCTAGAACAAAAACTAAGGCACAGAAATTAACCATTCTAACGCAGAATAAATCTCAAGACATTGAGCTTTTAGTACATCCGTGTAATGGTTTGCTATGTGGGATGGGGAAGAAGTCATATTGTTTTAAACATAGTAAAAAATGCGAACTTCCTAACCGATACCGGTAAAGTCGCTTCAGGGCTCATTAACCCCCTGACCCCGAGCCGGGGAGCTCCGGCGGGCTGCTGAGTCACGCGAACTAAAAGTAACAGAATCAGGCGAAAAGTGACGTCGTGACCTCTGACGGCCATTTCACTGGCGATGTTGTGGGCCAAATTTACATTAGTTTGGTAAGGACTGTACAACTCAGGCAGATGGCCAATTGCAGTATAAAGGGGCAAATAATGTGTAAAATTTATTAGCGCTCGTTATTATGCCTTGGCAAAACCTGACAGCAAACAGGGCTGGCCGCATAATGGTGGTGGAATAACGAGAGGGCAATGGGAGGTGAATATTATAATGAGAATGTCTGTACACAAGCAATACTAATAGTATTACTAAATGAGATCGAAGGGACCCACCTTTCCAGGTGTACTGGGCTGTGTCTGTATTGTAGCAACTCAGAGGGAGAGAAACGCCTGAACTGTCGAAGCTAGTATCATAATTGATAACATTGCTAAAGGAGTCAAATTTGGAAGGGTCTTTGAGGTCATCATCAGAGGTCACCTGGTGAAAGGTTAGGTCAAAGGGCTCCATATGACGAGCAACGCTTTCCCCACATCCATCACCTCCAGCAGTAACTCAGTACCACAAAACCTGTTGAAATAAAAACGTTATAATTAATTTCTCTATAACTGAAAAAAAACTGAGAGGACTCGTAAGCATGAATTGACTGGAGACGATGATAATATATGATCAATACGTTTTAGTTTCTTTGTCAGTGAATTGTAATTGAAATGATAAGGAACAGATGACAAGTCTGTCTACTTTAATACTAAATCATGTGACTTTTAAAGTAAGGTAATTTACTCAATTTATGCACTGACACTGATAGAAAGCATCATGAGGTAAACCTATTAATCCTTGAAAAGCTTTTTTTTTTTTGTAAAGTGTTTTACGGCGCTCGCAACTGCCTAAGGTCATATGAGCGCGCGGGACACACCTAATATTTTCAGATGGTAGGAAATTTTTTAATTTTGCCCGGGTGGCGGCCGAAGCCTACTCTTATCGATTTTAGACCACCAAGGGATCTTTAACATCATGCGCAACTTGCACACAGGCCCTCCGAGATTTTTCGCCCTTGTCCGAGAAGGCTAGGTGTAGATCTTTCCTACCAGAAGATCAGGGGTGTGGCAGAAAGACAGCAGTAAGGAGGAGCCAAGGAGTAGCAGTAGAAAGGTTGCAGAAAGAGTCAGGAGCCCAGAGGAGGGGGCAAAGAAGGTGAGGGGGTGGGGGCAGACAGTGAAAATGAAAGGAGGTGAAAGGAGACAATTTTAGAGAAGAAAATTTTTTGGTCGCTACTCGGATTCAAACCTGGGACCTTTGAATGAGAGGCCAACACCATAAAATCTAGGCCACGAGAGCCCCTGAAAAGCTTTGAGAGTAGAATGACACAAATGAGTCACTGAGTGAGGAATACTAAGTTCACCAAAAATGCGAGTTTGGGGAGAGGAAAAGTGCACGCAAGCAGGGCAAAGTGTGAATTTCATTTCAAATTCAATGCCATTCTTTCCCCCAACCAGTGCAGACAAATGAAAAGAAATCTACATATTTGTCAATGTTCTTTCCTCTTTGGAAATTATATTTTACAATGAGGGCAGGTAATTAATAATCCTTTGGGAAAGTGGATCGTTAAGTTCAGCCTAATTTGGCCCAAAAATTTTTCGAGGGTATGGCTTTTCAAATAAATGTAAACCCCTTGGCCAGAAGAAAAGGAAATGAACGTATCTTTGTATCAGAAAAGAGGGGAGGTCACGCTCTTTATTTTGATATGGGGCGAAATGGTAAAATGACAAAGGAAGCTGTCACAATTCGTTTACATATTGGCTTAAATATTTCGAAGTGACTATTTCTCCGAAAGCTCGGGAAAATAAACTTGATCTCTATTTTTCCTTACGGTTTCCATTCTCGAGATTTTTGGGTTATTAGTCAATTAGTGAGATTGAGACGTCATCTTTCATGCCATTCTGCGAGGACAGGGAAGAAGCATTTTTTGTACCGAAGTCAAATTTCTAGACCTAGAATCTAGACACATTTTTAAATGTCTGAATATATCAGATACTCAGTTGTTGTTGGGGCAACATTCCCGGACTATACTTCATTTGAAAATGCCTTCAAAAGTACTGCGAGAAAACAAGAGCTCGACCTTGGCAGTAACCTATTTTTGCATTTAGTCACACCTAAAGCAAAAACTAAAATCCTATGTAAACCCCCCCCCCTCCCCCAAAGAACTCCCTTCACCCCCCCCCCCTCCCCCCTCAGACTTCTTGTCACAAGTAAATTTTTACTTTCACTCCCGCACACAGATGCACTGTTTCAGGGGTCAAACTGCTGTACTGTTTGCTGCAGATCACACATAAAGCCACTAAAACTGTCGCAAATCAATTATTTTCAAGACAATTTCAAATTTTACTGTAAAATATCAAATTATGGGTGTAAAAACAGGGGGGCATTGCCCTGTAACCCCCCAGATTTTTTTACCCCAGTGGAGCAGGTCCCCCCTGGAACCCCCGATTGGTCCAAAGCATGTCTATCTCGGTTAAAAACAATCAAATATTTCAAAAACTATTAATTTGCGACGGAAATGAAGTTGATATTCGTGTTCAGCGCATCAATATTTAGTAGAAAATGGACAACTGGTAGCTGAGTGTGAGACGGGAGGGAAAGTAAAAAAATACCCAAGTTAGTTTTGTTGCATTTGGCTTTGGCGTTTCAGTTTAAATTTAGATCTATATCTATATCTATATCTCTATATCTAGATTAGATCTAGTCACATGCCGTTAAACTTAGAAATAACGCATCTTTCTGATTGGCTGCTAATTTTAGTAATGTGATGTCATCACTTCCTGGGATACCCACATGGAACGACGTGTTTTCGGTAAGGCCCGCCCAGAAGTTCTCGCAAGATCAACTCCTCCCCTCTTCTCTCTCTCTCTGTCTCTTTCTGAACTGTCTATCGGTGTGGACGATTAAATTGACCAAAACAAAGTTAAAAAATGATGTCAAAACACAAAAGTAAATTAATTTGGTTGTCTACAAAGATGCTACGGCTATTTAACTTTTCGAATCGAGCCGAACTACGCGGGTCGCCATTTTGTATTGTCCGGAAATTCTCGCGCTACTCCTCTCTCTCTTTCTTTCTCTCTCTCTCTCCACTGCCCACAGACAAAATTGTACGCTTTTAGTAGGCTACAGTTGTAATGGAACGTTTGTTCACGGCACAGAATTCTACAATTTTTCTGTTATCACAGTGTAGAATTCTGTGGTTTAGGGTGAACGCGCACCGGGTGAGAATAGCCACAAGACTCGCCTGCACTATTCTCACTCCGGGTGATAATAGAGGTGGCCTAAGCATAATATACATCATAGACACTTCCATCTTAAGTGCCATGCGGTTGTCTATACTTAGACTTGTAGTCACGTGATCGGAGGGGTATCCTGGTCTGACGTCAAACAAGATGGGCGCCTTACCTAATAATAGTTTGCATCATTTCTACTTTTAATAATCGCATGTGATCTAGATCTAGAATAGATCTAGATCTATATCTATATTCTAGAAATCTAGATCTAGTCTAGTATCAATGTGAATGGGTTCTGCCCAACGTATTTAAAGTCCCCCCCCCCCCCCCAACCCCGCGTGAAAATGGACCGCCAACAAAATAGATCTAGATCTAGATCTAGATCTAGATCTAGATATCTAGATCTAGTTCTAGAATCTAGATCTCTAGAATATAAGACATGGGCGTGGGCCAAACTTTCTTTCACTTTCAGCGGTGTGCATTTTTCATTTTCTGCGGACTTTCTAAGTTTCAAAGCCCTCTTTTTCCGAATCTTTCCACACACAGAAAAGCTGTTACAGGAAAGGCATTACCATAGACCAGTCTGGTCCGAAGGCAAGCTCAAACGTGCAAACTACTCCAACAAAACAATACTGCATTCATTCTAAAGCACTGCACTGCTGAGAAAGAAAACCGGTATATCACGGTAAGATGAACCGATGATAAGTTTGTTGACATCTCTCATCTCGCATTCTCGCCTCGCGAAGAGCAACGAGAACGTGGCAATTTTTAAGAGTAGTTTCCCTTCGAACTTCGAAGTAATAACAGTCTCTGGTAATAACAACAACCAGAGACGCATCAACCAAAGATCCTTGCCAAATAGGCTAATATAATACAATGTTTATTCGCTAATTAGGCTATGGACTCTCCTCTTTTTTCGCGGCGCCACGCTCGGCATGGCAAGGTGAAGAGTAGGCCGGCGACTATGGTCAAATCTCCCCGAACTGCGTTTTTTCTTTCGTCCACCTATTCTCTGGTGAGAATAACCCATGAACCGCTATTCTCACCCCCCTCCCCCCGGACATCGACTGTGATGTAGGTCTAGATTTTAGATCTAGATCTAGATCTAGTATCTAGATATTTTTTTTAATGTAAAATAATAGATCTAGGCCTATAATCTAATAGTTGGGCCTGCTTCAAGCGTTCCATCCCATGAGATGAATTAAGGAGCGCTAATTGATGTTGGGGGAAAATTACGATGCAGACTTTTGAAACATGTTCTATGATCATCTTAACCAGATATTTGCTAAATTTAATGAACAGCAAATAGAGTAGATCTAATTATGATGTAAAAACATGTTTCCCCTCTCCAGTAAATAATAATTCGGAGTGGCTTGTCGCCCGATCTCAGTTGGGTAGCCTGACGCTACTGGCCCGGGGGGATTTCTGCACATGTTCCGTGTTGTGGCCCTCTACTTGGGGATTTCTCTGTCTCTGTCTCTGTCTGTCTGTCTGTCTGTCTGTCTGTCTCTCTCTCTCTC